AAGCTTTCCTTCATCTCCTCTTCTTGGTGTTTTCTGTATTTTATTTTATTTTGGTCGCGCACATTATTTGAAGTTTCTATAGCAACGTGTCACCAGCTGGTATCGCATAGTAATGTTGGCATTTAGGAAGCAAGCTCCTGAAGTTGGAGCTTTCCCTCCCTTTGCGATCTCATCACTCCCACTAATCTCAGGTGAGTGGGGGACTCGGCAGCAGTCACCATGTCCCTCTCCCAATTTGGTTTGTTCTCTAAGGCAGAGTAAACTGAAGGCCTCTTCCTTGTGCACCTGGCCCTGCAGGAGTTCTGTGTGTGTGTGTGTGTGTGTGTGTGTGTGTGTGTAGGTGTGTTCACATCAAAGATTATTGAATAGATATATTCGAGTTGAATGTTGTGCACCAAAATTATTGATAATACCAATATGGTAATTATTTTTTCTAAATGGAAAGGAGTGGAATGATTTGGGGAGGACCTCTCTCCTGATTACAAATCATCTAGCATCCCAGCTAATTAATGTTGATCACAGCAATATTGGGTGTCTCTTTTTCTCTCTTGTGCCGTCATGCAGTGAAGTGACCCTGACTGTTTTCCTTCGGCACTTCAGCTATCTCCCAGGTGTGCAAGACCTCTCTATCTCCTGATGGGCTGAATTAATTGAAAGGATTGATTGTCTCGGGTGGCTGAAGAGGATTCTATATGGAAAATAAGCCCTGCCACTCAAGGCGTTAAGTAGTCCCTCATCTGCCAAGTGTCGCGATGATTGTACTTATTTTTACACGTTTGACCTAGTTCTAAACCGTGTCTCTTCATGCTGTGATTCATTAGCCACATTTTAAACCACCCTGATTGGAGCGAGGTGACTCTGCCCAATTTACACCAGAGTCTCAGATATGATTTCTCTCTGGAATTGAATCTGTAGGTCCCCCTGGTATTCTGTTTTAAGAAGCAATTTCCCAGCCAGGCACCTGCGTGCTGCTTGAGTATGGATACGTGGCTGTCTCATGGCTTGGTAGTAAATACATGTCGATCGCGGTGTTTCTGCAAGAAACTGCAAAAGGGGGATTCTCGCTAGTGTAGGCTACAGGGAATCCCCTCCACCCTCTGCCCCCCCCACCACCGCTCCCCCTGACAATATGCAAGCATTTCCAGAAGATTGGCAGGGCTGGGAGTTAGAGCTCCCATACTATAAAGTTTGAGCAATATTATGACTGCCTGAGTTGCTAGGGCAAATGCAGTCTGGTCACCCCCAGTTCCTCGTCTTCTAAAATCATGAGGCAAGGTGGATATGGAAGTATGGTCTCATACTTGGAAAAAGGATGAGAAGCAAGGGATAGTTACTGCCGAGGGTACTTCGGGAGCTGGAATACACATCAGAGAATCTGCATGTCCTTCCATCATTCTGTAAGTGTGAAGCAGAGGTGTACTATTTCTTCCTTTAAATTCTAATAACAGAGAACCTTGTTGGAATACGGAACTACCAGCATCCCACTCTGCTTCAGGTATCAGTCTGTCACATTGGCTTGATTTCCAGCAGATCTGTTACCAGCATCAGGCAGGCATTATTGTAAGGGGGAGAAAGATGCTTCCAGTTGGAAGCAAAACACTGTTATTTTTCCATTAACAGCCAAATTCAGGTAACTTGTCCAAACTTCAGTTCACATTGCACTACAAAATTGTACACAGAAAGACACGCAGCTGGGTTTTTCCTACATGATAGAATGGAGAAATGAACCAGCTGGTAAAAGTAATTTTGATTCATGTGTGAACTGCAACACACTGACCAACTCCTAATAAAAAGATAATAGTCTGTTTCACACAATGGTCACTCTTCTTTAGACAAGGACTGGAATGCCCCCTCCCCCTTTTTTTTCTCTTTTAAAATGAACCATGGAAGTTTCTCTTAAGCACAGTTTAAGACAATGCACCCTTCTCAAGGTAATTCCAGGCAATACGAGCTTCCACGCTTTGCTTTTTGCTATTTTTCTACTTTGAAATTCAAACCAAGCCATTGGAAATAACAAGCATTGCATATCTATGCATTTGGGGCAGCCTGCATTTCTGACAATGGTGGATTGTCCAACACACACACACACACACACACACACACACACACACACACACACACACACTCCCAGGAATTTAAGCCAAAGCTTTAAAAGTAAACTGTCATCTAAGAGCCGCTGGCATTTTCTCACGGAGGTTCACTGATCACACACACAAAAAAAGAAACATAAAATCTGTACACATTTCTTACCTTGAAGCAGTGGAATACCTGCCGATGGAGCCCCCCCCTTGCCTTGCCCAGGGAGCCAGGCTTTGACCAGCAGCAGAATTACTCCAAAAGAAGGAAAAATTAGTCCTCTCTATTGTAAATTTCACTGTTTATATGCAAGAAGTGTAGTGGGTCTGCTCACGTAGGAATAAATAAAAAGCCGAACAAACTGCACGGCAGCACCATGTGAAAAGAAAAGACCTCTAGTGGCCACAGGCTGAATTCTTTAAGGAAGCGCTAGGAGAGATGGGGGGAGTAGAGGAAACACGCTGGTACACACACACACACACACACACACACACACACACACACACACCACACACACACACGCTGAGGTTCCTCAGTTGCTAACATTTCCCCATCCTTGCCTTCAGCCTGTCTGAAAGTATAAACAATAATCAACCTCATTCCTTGGTCTCAGTGGCACCTGGTTAACCCAGATAAAGGTGTTCGGTCTGGTGAAAAATGGCTGGATAATTTCACAAACTCACCCACAACGTCTAGGAGCCCCAGCAGCACAAACAGTTTCACTGGCTAGATCATCAGGAAAATCAGTCCAGTGTGGAGGCTGCAGATTCCTGACAACAAAGTGTTACTGTCATTGTCCCTGTACTGTGTGCCCACTGGATGCTGTCTAAATATTTCTGGTGTGAGAGTGCTGTGATCCCGAATGGATAGGCTCCCTGGGTCAGTGGCCTGAGGTTAGATCAGACCCTTTGCTTAGGAGGACCATGGGGATGTTCTGAAATTCGCCTTTTCCTAAGGACCCTGCATTTTCGTTTTGTTCTCAGCTTTATTAATGGATTAGCTGGCCCTGCTGACAGGGAAATCACACCATCCCTAACTTTGTAATTCAAAAGAACATAGATGCAAAGGAGGTCTCACTTTTTGGGGGAGCTAATTTGGCAAATGAGAACTTGAGAAACATTCAATTACCCAAAAAACTTTATGTGGCAGATTTGTAGAGACCATTCAGGCAATTCCTCCATCACTGAGACCAAACTGTAAATCTGTTGTAGACACACAACTCTAAATATGCATATAACAAATAGAGAAGATGTAACAAATACAAATGTCTGCAGAGTTTTTAATGAAAGTTTTCTTTGTTATGAAAATTTTAGTAAAAAAAATAATGTTTTAACAAAAGCAATCGTGTGTGATGCCAAATCAAATTTTTTGAACCAAGTGCAATACTTTCCAGCCTATCTCTCCGGTGATCCCTGGAGACACCAGGCAGGCCATTTCTTTCTCTTTCTTCCTTTCTTTCTTTCTTTCTTTCTTTCTTTCTTTCTTTCTTTCTTTCTTTCTTTCTTTCTTTCTTTCTTTCTTTCTTTCTTTCTTTCTCTCTTTCTCTCTTTCTCTCTTTCTCTCTTTCTCTCTTTTTCTCTTTCTCTCTCTCTTTCTCTCTCTTTCTCTCTTTCTCTCTTTCTTTCTCTCTTTCTCTCTTTCTTTCTTTCTTTCTTTTTTCTTCTCTTTGAGACCACTTTATTTCACTAGGCATTTTTCTTTCTTTTTTTTTATTTTATTTTTTTAGGGTAAAAAGGTTCAAGGGCTACAGGAAAGTGGGTAAGACTAGTATTTTTTCCATATTGTTTCCTTCATGTTTAAAGGGGGGTATTAAGGGAGAAGGCCCACCCAATTTCCCACTCTCCCCAGGTCCCGGATGTAGGGTATGCTCCGAGATTCTTGCTCAAATGGGTTTTGATATTTCAACAGTTATGAATCGCTCAGGCAGGCCATTTCTTACAAGCTTGCCCTGGGCTGAACTATTGTGGGACTCTGTGTAAGCAACATGGCAGCCACATTGGTTTTTGCAGTATGCAATCAAGAACAGCTTCTCATACTGTGCTTCTTTTACCAGGTTCCAGGGTAGATCTTCCTGAACATTGCTGGCACCAGTAGAAAAGGCACTCTGTTGCTGACTCACAAGGGGTTATACTGATGTCTTTTAGTGCATGGGAGGGTATAACTTATGTTCCCAAGGATCCTTTTTGTCCTTCCTCTCTTATGCCACTGCCTTGATTTCTTTCTTGCCTGAATCTATCTGACCTTTGATCAGCCACACTCGTGATGAGTCTTGTGCTTTTTGTCCCATGGACATAAATTGTGCTTTCCCAACTAGACCATAAACTTACAAAGAGCAAGGACCACCTCTTCCCATCTCTTTGATTCTGCATAGCCTTTCACAAATGCTATCCCTGGTAGGTGTCACTCACAGCCTGTTTCTGGATGATCCGATAACTAATCTCACAGCAGAAGACTTTCATGTCTTTCTAGGAGTTTTCGATGTCATCCCTTTGATACCCTGGGTCCAGACAAATGGATAATTGCCCCCACTTTATGGATGAGACAGATGAAACTTGCACCTGAAGAGTTACTTGTCAGAAAACTATATGGTCTGCAAGACTTTGACATAGGCTAAGTTTTCTAATTCCATATAGCTCTCTTCTGCCCCAAGGTGTGAGCAGCAAATCATGTCTTATTTTTATATTTGGAACTCCTGGTTCTGTCCCAGGTAAACTGTAAATGTTGAATCAGTGTTCTATCCATGGATGAGCTTTAATTAAAGGCGACATTTTCTCATAGGGAAATTTCACATACTGATCCAGTGAGGGGAACATACTTATCTTGGTTGGTTGAACATTTTCCAATTTGAAATCAAGGGCATGGAGAAGATGAATTCTGTGGTCTTTTCTCCATCCATTCATGGCACTGTTCTTCATTTCTTACAGAGTCATTTTGTGGCATGCATGACAGCCATCTTGAATCAGATGGGTGACCAGCACTATTCCTTCTACATTGAGACCTTCCAGACCAGCTCAGAACTTGTGGTGAGTCTGCAGGGTGAATGAGGGACTGTGGAAGGAGAAATATTATCCTTTTGGTTCTTGCGAATTCAGGACAAGAAAGTCTCCCTGTAGATCTTGAATATGTGCCTGGGTTTCAGTTTCCAAACATATTTGTCTAGTTCCCTATTTCTTCTACATTTTATCTCTGGAACATGCCTTTATTCAGTGTGAGAGACTGAATGCTATATCATCTAGAATACCTAAACATAAATCATACACACTTCTAGGCTTAAGAGCATGAACTGTGCAGTCACACAGTCTTAGATTTGAATTTGGTGTTGATTAGTTTTGTGACCACAGACAAGGTAACTGCTATTAAGTCTCAGTTTCCCCATGTATCAAGTGGGATATAATCTATGTCATGGAGTTGTGCTGGAGTTACATGGGATCATAGTAGCTCAAACTGCTGTTATAATATGATACCCAATGCACAAAGGAAGTTACTGCCAGTGCCCCTTTCACATACTGATGGCCTCTCTGCTCGTGGGCTGTGACTCAGAGCTGTGCAGCAGATGATTTCATCAATATTGGATGCAGTCTGGGCCAAAGAATGTAGAAAAGGGTCCTCTGGCCTCAGTAGGGCCTATTTTGTCATTGTTGGCTTCTGTCAGGTTTAGGCATCATCTCAACTCTCGTTGGAGTGATCAGTGGCACCTGAGCTGGACCAAACTCAGAGCCCATGAGTGGCCCATAATAAGGGCATCATGAGAAATATGGTGGTCTATCCTTTTATTCATTTAGCATCTACCCAATGAATAAAATTTGCAAGAAGCAGAACCTTTTTCTGGATATGCACAAAGATAATATGAATTTTTTTATATATAATCTTTTTCTGCATATTCAAAAAAATAATTTTTCTGGATATACAAAGCCAATAATCCCAGCTTTCTCTCTTTCAGCAAAGTTTCTGTGTGCCAGGACATAGAAATAAAAATCCAGATTCTTAGTTTTGAAACTCTGTGGGAGGAAAGATTTTGAGGAGTGGAAAGTAGGTGGGGGTATTCTTGTTTAAGCAACAGGTACATGCTTAAACATCACCCTCACAATAATATGACATCAGTGTTAGAAGTCACATTTTTATGAGTCTACAATGTGCTTGCTCAATGACCCAGGCCTAGTGTATGGAAGAGATTGAATTTGAACGTCAGCTCTAGCTTCTATGCCCTACTACATCATCTGATTCAGAAGACACATGGTCCGTCCGAGAACCAGAATCTTTCTCCTTTCCCATAGAAGGGAATGTGCCTGTGATGACAGTCACACTTCCTCAGGTAACTTCAAGAACAAATGAAAATAGTCACAGCCATCATCATGCATATTGTAAGCATTTACAAGGGACTGGGTTCTATGATAAGTATGTTTTAGACAGTATGCACTTAAACCTCACAGTAACCCTCAGAGGCAGAGTTAGCATCACTCTGCTGATGCAGAAGCTGAGACAGAGCATTGACATAATTTTCCCTAGAAGCAAAGATTGCTGGAAAGGAACGATGCTATTTCCAGAAGTTTTCAGTTAGCTTAAAGCAGCACTTTTCAAACTATGTGCCCCTTAGCCTCACTGTTCTTTTCAGCGTGTGCGTGCGTGCGCGCACACACACACACACACACACACACACACACACACACACACACACACACATTTCAACCAAAACTCTCCTACTTTTATCCTTTCTATGCTTTGGATTTCAAAGTTAATAAAATTTTCTTTGAGCAGAGAATTCTATTTAAAAAGTTTGACATCCACAGGTTTACGTAAAAACCTCCTTGAATGGGTTTGCTGGTTTTATTTTTTTTCCAATCTTCCCTCAAGCAGACAGGTGATATGGCTTTGTGGCACCAGGCTTAAAGGTCCATTTCCAATGATTCTGATCTGTGTTGTTGGATTTGCCTCAAATTTGTGTTCTCTAAAGATGAGAGAAAAAAAAATATGAGCAGTACAGTCATCCTTATCATTGTATTTCCTTAATCTGCTCATGTTTGTTGTGTGATGTATGAATTATCTGTGCTTGCAACATTGTTAATTAAATGTTATTTTAAATAATATTTTGTTTGCTCAGTGACCTGAGATACTTTCAAATAGTGTGGATTATTTCTTACTCAAATACATATTTGGAAAGATGATTATAAAGTGCCACATCATTGACTGCCTCTACTTCTTTATTCTCAGAAAATTAATAGTGCATTGTTCTGAGAGCTTTTTTAAATCATTCCATATTTATATTCCACTGGTATTTGTGAAACAAGCTCCCAGTAGCCAATTTTTAAGCTTCCACTAGAAATCCAGTGCTAGGGATTTCATTGACCCAGCTTAATGAAAGGCTGTATCCTTTCCCTTTTTATCCGACCAAAAAATAAAGATCCAGGAAGGTTTAGAGATGTTCTGTAAGTGCCCATAACGTAAGCTGACATTGTGTTTTGCTTTACTGTTTTAGGATTTCTTGATGGAGACCTTCATTATGTTCAAGGACCTCATTGGGAAGAACGTGTACCCAGTAGACTGGATGGCCATGAGCATGGTCCAGAACAGGTGAGCGCCCCCATTTCCAATAAACCACCTCAGACACCACTCACTTTGGAGATCAATGGTAAGGATAAGGTGAAGGCATCTTCTCCCACTGAAAGGAATGTAAAACTGCTGACAGATCCTCACTTTCTACATTTAAACCCAAGGAAGAGCCCTTCATCAGTGATGAAGCTGTTCAAAAAGCAGTCCCCTGCAACTTCTTGAATCACAGTTGAAGCATCATATCTTGCCTGTATAGCCTTTTCTGAGTTCTGGAGCCCAGAGAGCTTGGGAAAGGATCTTTAAAAAATACTATTAGTTTTGAATTTGTTAAGAAATAATGTATTTTGTTTCATATGATGAAAGTAAGTTTAGAAAGCATTAAATGAACTCATTAAGTGGGCTTCTGTACTGCAGGACTGCTCAGAGCTTTCAGTATGCTATCGTGATGTTTTAGGAGACCTTGGGCATGATCTGGTGATACATACTGCAGGGTAGTATGACTGTGGACAAAGAGAAAAATTTAGCAGCAGCAGATCAAAAATTTATTTGCACATAGAGCTACTTGATGTGCACTCTGTGTATACATAGTGCCCATAAACATCTCATAGAATATCATTGTGATTCATGCAGCCTACTTACACAACATGCACATATGCTGCAGTCAGATCCTACATGGCCCAACATATCACGAAATAAAAGTGATTATAAGCAATTTCAGTTGTTCGCGCTTTGTGTGTAATATTGTTTTGCCAAAGTGAGATTCAAGTTAGCAGATACAACGATATTTTATAATTGCCTTTCCATTCCCCTTTCTCTCAGTTTCTCTCACATGCCACAGGTTCCCCTGTCTCTCTCAGAACCTTGTTTTCAAACCCTACCCCATGACTTCCTTTTCCACAGGGGCTTCGTGTTCTCTCTCTCTCTTCTCTTTTCTGTTGTTTGTTACATTTGTTTTAGACTCTTTCTGTGTGAAGTCCTTCATCCCCTATCAGCACCTAGCTTTATCTCTATCTGTTGCCTTTGTTCTGAATCATAAAAGGCAAGCATTGGCTGGACAATACAGACATATCCCCAGAGGGAGAGAAACTGAACAGGCAAAACAATAATTCTCTACTATAAGTGAAAGATTATGAATGTTTATATACTAATGAATTTGTCATTGGAGACACTGGGAATTTCTGTCTCATTTTTGCCTAGTACCTGCCTCTAGTCCCATGTGGCGTTTTCAGTTCTCTGAAAAGCTGTTATTCCACTGTCTGGATGCCCAAGTGTCCAGTCACATGACATTATAGATTCGCCTGCTCACAGTGCTCCTGGACCAGCGTTGGGAGCTAGTGGAAGGAAGGAAGGCTTGCTGGAGCAGAAAGAACTGCCTGTCTGTGCATGATTGTGGCAGGAAGAGAAAAATCAGCCCAGTGACATCAGTGTCAGAGAGAATCTTCAGCCTGTTCTGCTCGAACCGTGACTTCCCTGTTCCCATCACACAAGTGAGGAAATCAGAGGCTGGTCTCACCCTGGACCTAATCTGGACCAACTTCCTAGACCAGAGACCAGAGCAGTTGCTTAGATTTCATGCTCTGAACAGTGCATGCTGGGTTTAATACTCTGGTGTATTCATCTCGTAGCTCTTAATGAATTTTGAATGAATGGACCCACACTTTTATCTTCACTGAATCCCCACCAATTGTGTAACTGGCTATACTATGGGTATCAGTGATAGTTGGTTGCATTGAATGGGAGTGGTAGCCACCTTCTAAACAGCTTGCGGTTTCCTGGTTTGTCTGCCGGGTTATTGATAACATCTTAAAGCTTTCCCAGGTTGCTCATACCACCCCGGAGGTGTAGTATGGTCATTTTCCTCTCATCTTACCTTTTAGATGAACTCAGCTTCTTATTATTAACTAGTTTAGCTTATTTCCATAAGTCACAGCCTTTCCTGGGTACCACACTAAAGCATCCTTCAGTTTCTTGACCATAGCATCCCCACATTGTGGATCCAACAACCCTTGCTGGACAGGAGACCTTGTCCCTCCTCACTGTTTGCTTCCATAACTCTGCCTAGAAGTAACTCCTCTATGATTCTTTCATGTAACTGGGCTTACAGGAGGCCAACTTATTTCTGTTCTTACAGCTAAGGCTCTATATGTATGGAACTTGACATTCTTAAATATCCTTATGGAATTGTAATGTATCCAGAGGGCACTTGCTATTTGACAGATTATAAGAAAATCCGATTCAACTCTGCCTAAGCAAAAGGAATTCATATAACTGACAGAACCCCAAAGTGTGCCTTCAGGAATGGATGTATCTAGGTGCTCAAATAGTGACACTGGGTGTCTGTGTCCCCTGGGTGTTTTCTCTCTGTTGGCTTCGTTCTCAGCGTATACATTTTTATTTTGATAGACCTTGGCTCTAGACATGGTGGATACATGTCTTGCTTGATTTTAAACTCCAATAGTAGTAAGTAGGTACATCAAATGTCCCTCGGTTCCTCTTCAAAGACCTGGCTTGGTTCCTCTTCAAAGACCTGACTTGGGTTCTGTGGCCCATTCATAAACCCCTGTGGCCAGCAGAACGAAGAGTGCCCTGAATTCAGCCAGGCTTAGATTTTAGCTGCACACCACACCGCCTTTGAGGCTGGGAATGTTGCTGTCACTGGTATCTAAATTAAGAAGGGAGCAGGCAGAAGGAGTAATGCTCCAAAGGCAAATCCTGGATTTATTACCAAAAAGAGGGATAGCTTAGAAGCAGGCAAATTCCGTGATGCCCACCATGACCACTGCCTCAGAGAGCCCAGTGCCCCACTCAGCAAGCTCTCCCTCATGCGCTGCCTTGAATCTGTGGAGGAACCTGGTTGATCCTCAAGGGGAAGCCTTGAAATCTCGACCTCTTTAGACTTCCCCTTTTCAGGACAGACTCCCAGAGATGACACCATGGTTCTCATCTCTTTCCCCCTAGAGTATTAGAATCGCATGCATCTCTAAGGGTCTTGACAGCGTATAATTGTCTCCAACAAATATTTTTAGTCTCTTAGCAATCAACTAAATTCAATTAACTAAGTTTTGCATAAAAAGTTTTCTAAGTTATAAATAGCCAAAGTATCACGCTCCTCATGTCTGCCATCTTTCCCTTCTTGGAAAGGTATTTGATACTTTGGGGTATCAGTATCCCAGTCTTGAATACAGGAAAATGATTGCCTGCACTCCAAAAGGGAGTGTGTGTGTGTGTGTGTGTGTGTGTGTGTGTGTGTATGTGTGTGTGTGTGTGTGTGTGTGTGTAATAAGTTTCTCTTTATCACGTGCCTGGTATCTGAAAGAACTCAATGGGCAATAACCGTCAGCAATCTCAAATCACTGAGAACAGTGAGCCAAGCCTGGGAGTAGAGAGGCAGGTGTGTTAAGAAACTTGGGACTAGAGAAACATGAGTGATCACCTAAGAAGATGACTGTTTTTTCTCCTCGAAGCCCATAGCCCCATAGCTTTGTTTGCAGCTTTCCTTTATGCTCTGACCACAACAATCCCTTGTATTTATGGAGCTCTTGAACTTTTCTCATTGTATTTCTTGTGTGCTGTTATCTTAGGTAATGTTTATTAACCACCTAGATGCAACCCTGTTACAAATGCTTTACCTACCTCAGCTCCTTTAATCCACCAAACAACTTTACGACGTAGAACTAGTATAATCTGCACTTTATGTGTGCCTATAAAAAAGCTGAGGTCCAGATTAGATAAATGTTTCACTCAGTGTTGAATTTTTAATTAAAGAAAAACAGAGAAACCATTTGACCAGAGCCCAAGTTCTTAACTGCCACTGCTGAGTTTTGCAGAATTACAGATATGCAAGCTGAAGCCCAGAGAGGTGAGACAACCTCCCAAAGTCAGTCAGCTCATTAGTGGAAGATTTCTGGGATAATTTGGGCAAGCAGTACACACCATGACTTAGCCTAGAGAATTCTCCAATACACCACTTCCAAACTTATTCTCCACTTATTCATCTGGCCAGGCAAACTTCATTGATCACACGGTTTGCATTTACTCTTCCGCCCTTCCTTTTCCTCTTTTCTTTCCATCCTGCGATATCTATGTTGTTATAGGTTTTCTATTATCATGCATGATAATACATGCATGTTATATATGTATGTATGTCTTACTAATTGATTAATCTGCTTATTGGAAGAAGGCAGTAGAATTTTCCAGGTTTGACTGTCTCTCCGGCAGTGTGCTGTTTGGTGCATGCAGAGTTAATCGTGTGTCTGTGTCAAGAAATACTTCCCATCAGGAGCATGTTTTTTTGTTTTTTTGGTTTTTTGGTTTTTTTTAGTGAGATGCAGTATTCAGTAAGATCTGATTTACATGACATGTTAAATTTTTTAATGATCAAGGTATTTCATTGATCAAGCAAATTTATGCATAGGAGTCCTTTTTATCCCATTCCCATCTGCAAGTCCAGGATATTGAGTGGGAGTAGGGTATGCACAGATTCCTACAGATTGAGCAATCAACAAGTGTTTGTGGAATGTCCTGGGCTTGCAGGGCTCTCGAGAGAGAGACCCGTAACTGGAAGCTCTGATCCCAGAGAGCAGGCATCATGCCATCTAACTGAGGCGATAGTAAATGCGTCTTTGGAGATCTGACCAAGTGGTCAGTCTCTGTCCCGAGTTCAGAACCCAGTAAGAATCCAGAGGCAGCACAGGAAAATTGACTTATGACTGCCTGAGGTCAAATCCTGTCCTTATCATTTCAGTTTTATGACCTCAGGCAAGTTCCTCAACCACTTTGGACTCAACTTTACTTCCTTCACGATGGGGATGCTGATAATATATGTGTCACAAAGAATATTTTGTGGGGACAAAAATGAAATAATATACATGACATACTTATAACAGGGTTTACCACGTAGCAAAAACTTCAGAAAGGTGAGGGTTTTTTTTTTTTTTAGTTCTATATTCCTATGTTCTTGATACAGCCAGAATAATTCACAGAAGAGTTAAGTCTGGACTGTGTCTTGTCTGTCTTCATCA